GCTCATCTGCTAGTTGTGATGAAGTCTTCTTTTTTCCACATTACAAACTCTTCTTGACACAAATTGTTTGGTGTGCTTACCAGAACGTTTCCCTATAATATTTTCATGGAATGAGGAATGGTATACCTAAATATATTTTTTATTACTCCGATATCCTATAATTGCACCTGCTCCTGAGTTTGAACTATAATTAGTCTTATAAGACCGTTTTGCCCCAGATCCGTAAGATACTACTTTAATTAATAGATAACTATTTTTATCAACTTCCCCATTCTTTTTTGCTAACGTGGCTCCCTGTTATCCAGCTTCTATCATCAAACTCCAAGCAGCTTCATATCAAATATTGTATTCTAGATTCAAATTTCAATATATCTTCCACAGTCACCCTCTAATTGTAAATTTCTTTAAATTTTAACTAATTTGTTAACCTTTTTTCAATTTTGTGAATAGTGAGGGTGGCATGATTCCTTAATTCCACACAAGCTAACTTGCTTCTGGAGATCAGATTTGATTTGTAAGGGCTTATCCCACACTCACTATTCCCAATACCAGTTTTTTGTCACTTGGTTTGTTTCTTGTAATTTTTAATTTGTTCAAACAATTGTATATATGCTATTTTAACTTTTGACTTAAAAGTCTAATTCAGATTTTATAATATATTTTTTTAAATCTTTTTAAATTGTAAGTTTACATCCACAATTTTTGTAGATGAGCAAATAAGCCGAAAGCGCTTTGCATTGATTAATAAAAAAGTTTTGCACGAAATACAAGTTTTTCCTTTTGAATCTAAACTACGTGCACACAGCTGTCAACCTTTTTTGGTTATTTTAAAACTATTATAGTCTAGCCAAAAAGCTAAGCGATCTGTGCATTAAAAAATTTAACAATTCATAAAATTTTAAAAAACCGACTTTAAAAACCGTGCAGATGCTATCACCACATTTTAACTTAATTTATAGGGAACCACCCCTAAGGAACCCCCTTACTAACAAAAAAGAATTATAGAAATCGGACAAGGTGGTAAAGAATTACTGCTAAACATACATAAAAATTAAGAGTATGAGGAGTTTCTTATGGACCCAATTATTTGATCTTGGCAAAATTCATACGGGACCACCCTGAAGTATAACAAAAAAAGAATCATTAAAATCGGACACCGTGTTATTGCTGAACATACATAAAAAAAAATATTCCGACGAATTGAAGTCAGTTAAAAATAGTTATTTGTTTAACTAGTCAGAAAAGTAACAGATTTACTACCGCGGTTAGCATTTCATTGCCGAGGCAAAACCGAGGCAATGAAACTAGCCAAGGCAGTAAATCTGTTTCTCTGTGTGTGGAATATATAATTTTTTCTCTGATTGTTTATATTAATTAATATACTTATAGTAACTTTGTAGATAATTTAGAGTATTTTTTTGGTTGGATGCTCATGCAGAGCAAGACTTCAAAAGAAAAATAGAAGAAAAAGTAATTTTTTTATTGTGTTGGCAGTCTGTTTCTTCAAGTGCACTATTTTTTCTTCTAGATAATTTCTGTTGATTTCTTCATCCATATTATCTACAGTTTCTATTTTTTCAAGCTGTATTACATCGTTTTCTTCTATTTGATTTATGTCAGTTTCTGTTTCCATATTATTAACCGTTTATATTTTTTTAAGAAGAAATGCATTGTTTTATTTTGGTTGTTCTTGATTGTTATTTGTACGTACAAAAACTTGTTCACCATCGTCGCCATACACATTTTTATCCAAATTTTTTTTATAAAGTTTATATAAAATGACGAAATCTTCATTTTCGTCTATACAAAATGAATCAATAATCCCCATATCTATGGGGCCTCAGTATGATTGTATTTGTGCCGACGAAAACATTTTCTTGCCACCATTTTTTAAAACTTTTCTCCACGTTTCCGATCACTCTAAGTCCGAAAATGCAAATAAATCTGGCTGAGCGTATGTATGTATGCACGATAACTCTAAAACAGAAGGTCCGATCGATTTCCGGTTTCGATTTTCTTGGAAAATTACTTCTTACTTAGATCTCTATTGATTTTAAAAATGTTTAGTTCAACCTTACTACATTAAATATCGATATTTATAAAATCCAATACATTTCTTATGGATCTTATTAAAAAATATTGTGTTACTAGTAAACTGGCGTCTTATGTAGGTCGAGACTCAATATTTTTTGAGTTGTTTAACGTGGTCGCAGCAATTCTGATATTTGAAAATCAATGAATACTTATGTGATATATTAAATAAAAATTAAATTACAAAAGAAAATTTCTATTAATATGTATGAGGAGTTTTCTAATTTAAAGACATTTGTTTAAGCAGTTAGGACAAAATTAGAAATAACATTTGAAACGCATTTTTCAAATATGAAATTAATAAATTAGATATGCCTGATTAAAAAATATTTATTATTGTAATAGGTACTTCCATAAATAAAAATAAAAATACTAAATCGGTTTATTTTCCTCTAGACACTTCCAAAAATGTATTGGACAAGTAATAAAGCATGAATCCTAAATTTATCGATTGTTTATTATCTTTAAGACATTTACAAAAATGTATTGAATAAGTCAAAAATCAAAAATATCTGTGCCACTAGATAGGCTCAACGGAAAGAGAACAGCCCTCGGATACAAAAGGCTGTTTAGAAACACATATCAAGAAATAGAAAATGTTAACATGTATATCGGGCACGGTGGTGTAGCGGTCTATCGCGCTTATATTCATTTATAGGCAAGTTTATGAGTCTGAGACTGCTGGGTTTCGAATCCCAGACCAGACCATGTGGATTTTTAATTAAATTGCATGGTTCGATTTAGGATTTGATGTGTGGCGTATTAATAGAAATTCAATTTCTGTTGATATGACATGCAGATTAAAAAAATTCGCCATACATTACCGTCTCGATGATGGTGGGTGAGGTTTTCCGGGTTTTCCTCACCTGTAAGTCAAATGGCACCATCAATCATCTTTAAGTCGCCCCGGAGCGCCACGGCAAATAATAATAATAGCCGTCCCTTTCCCCGGACAAGCTCAGCTTTTGGGGTTAAAATTCACTCGTAAGGGGGTGAATTAGGGAGAGTATTATTATTATTATTATTATATTTTGGAACGGTTCCACTATCAAAAATAGATGGCTCTGTCATCTTAATTTCGATTCCCAATATTATTCTAGTGCCATCCTAAAACTTCCATCGGCAGGTCTGAATGAAAACATGAACAAAACATAAAAATATGTACAGTCTCTTCGCTATACTTACGCGGGTTTCGGATTAACAAAATTATGCAAATTATTCATTGACAACCAGTTCCCTAATGTTATTTTAATTTAAATCTGACCATTAGGGCAATTTTACCTAATTTCTTGGGAAGAGGCTTATTGGAACTGGTTGTCAATGACTAATTTGCATAATTTTGTTAATCCGAAACCCACGTAAGTATAACGAACAGACTGTAGATAATATGATTACATAGTTACGTGTTATAATAAAAACAGGGAACAAAAGTTACGAGGAACGAAAAAATTTACTTTGTTAGTGAAATATATATGGTTGAGAGGGAGGTGGTAGAACATCAAAGTTACAGAGATAATAACCCTTCATTGTCTTTATAAGATGTTACCATAAACAAGTTAAATTTTTTTTCGACTCCCTAGTTTTTTATTTTTTATTAGATCCCTACTGTGCACTCTACGCCGAGAAAAAACTATACTAATCGGCATTAAAAGTTTAATAATGGTTTTTAAATTTTTTAATACTATATGAGACAGCTAAACTGATTAATAGAACATATTAAACTTTTGTTCTTGGATCTGTGTTGCTATCATAAGCAAACTAATAAAAAACTTTGCTTATCATTGGTAAATTAATTTGGTAACTTTTATTATACAATTTAATAGGAGAAACTAAATACTTTAATGTCATTATTAAACAGTAATGATAGATATTGAACAGCTTAATAGCATTTAGTTCATGAGTATTGATTATTAATTAATTGTTATTAGTGGATTTAATGATGGAAATTTACAGGTCCTAATACTCTCTGTTAAACCACTTTAATTATGATCATTTAATAGTTTCATAGAGGTCGTAATAATATCACCTTCCCCATAAATTGAGAACTGTCTCTATCTAACTAAATGAATTATAACCACATGCAAATCTTTTTTATTTTTAGTTCAAGAGACAATAACTAAATAGATAAAGGTTATATCTGGATCACTTTGCGTCAATTTTTTGAAAAGTTGGTTTAGTTTTTATAGCAGAAAATTACAAAACTTCAATTTTTCTAAATATTTTCTTAATTTTTTTTAGGAAAAACCTGAATCAAATTTTGGTAGTCAAAAAGACAAACAACGATCGGCATCTCCAATCTCAAATTCTTTAGTAAAACCGTATAATCCATTACTTAATTTCACTAACTGGAATACAATTTACTCATACCATACAAGTACACTGAATTCAATAGGGATAGAGCTGCTTCCTCATTACATGCTAAAGCGCAAATGTTTAGTGAGCTTGTAAATCCACATCACGTAGAGTATGGAAGGGATAACAATCGCTAAAATTTAGTTATGGTCATTGAACATTTAATTGTGGTTAGGAAACTGCTATTAAAGGCATCATTAAATCAGTTTAATACTAATCAGAATACTAGTAGGTATTACAGTTGTTATTAATATGTTATTGACTAATTACAGCAGTTACAAATTAATACATTCGTTTAATGACTGGTATTAACCAAAAATTAAGTAAATTTTTAGTGACAATCCTATTTTTTTATATTAAACATGTACACATCACAATTAATTAATCATATCATCTCTATATTTTTCTGTACTTTATGTTCACATGTTCTCTTGTAGACTTGGTGATGACCCTCTGCAGCTGAAACTAGTAGATACCAATGATGAGTTTTCATTACATGTTATGATATCTGCCTTTTAAGTATTATTGGTATATTTAATTATTTTGTTTGTTTGCAGATGGCGGTAACAATCAGAAATTTGGAGACAAGTGCAGACATACGAAACAATGTACGTTCGAAGGAGCTATTTGTGATGATATAACTCATAAATGTCTTTGTAAACCTGATCTACCAGTTACCAATCACATGGACAAATGTGGCGTGCGTAAGTTATATTTTCATTACCAATTTATTTTATTCATACACCTAATTATTTGTTTACGTATATTATTTCATCGGTAGCCTTGCAATTACCCTTTAAAAAATAGGTATAAAAATATGAAAATCGTCCAGTTAAAAACTCAAAATATAGAGGCCTCAGAATCCCAAAAAGCGATTTTTGATGCCAAAATAAGCAAAAGAAGCTATTTTGGGCGGTCAAAATAGAAAAGATAGTAGAATATTTCAAACAGTTCAAAAATAAATTGTAAATCGAAAACAAGATCTACGTCTTCATTTCAATGTAAAGCGGCAACCGGTCAAATTTTCTGAAACTTTGGTATGTTATTGGACTCAACCTAGTAACCAAACGTGTCAACGAGCTTAATTCCGATATACAGGGTGGTAAAGTTGAAAATTATCTACTTTTTCGATAATTTTATTTTCAAACGAGCTAGATTATATTTCTGTTGCATATACACGTTTGCTACATGGTTAAGTAATACATTAGTGCATACGTACATACAATTAACAATATTTTTAATTACAGGGTAGTTTTTTGCAAAATATCACTACTTTTACAGACAAGCATATTTTTAAAATATACTACACAATATAATATTTTAGCCACAAAATATTACACCGTGCACGTTTCTTATACAGGGTGTTCTATAGAGAGAACCACAACAAATTGTTTTTCAAGGTTTAATTCATAAACCTGTAATTATGAATTGATTTTTGGGAAAGGTAATACCACTTAAATATGTGTACCACCTTAGAGGTAGATTTTGAAGCTTACTTCAAAATATACAAAGTGACAAAAACCCTAGTTTATGATCATGCAAAAAAATTTAATAAATTGTTAACACCCACATAGATCCATGTTATTTAATAGATAAAAACGACATCATAAAATCTTATGTGATATTGAGCAAGCATGTGGTATTCCATAAGTATTACCTAAGATAAAGGAGAAAATAAAATGCTAAAAAAATATAATGTGTAATTAATTTTAGCAGGAAAACTTATCATCATTGGTAATTAAGAGCAGTGTAAATAGTATTTTAAGGTTCAAACCAGTGAACAGTGAAACATCATCTTACACTGAAAAAGGGGAAGATAGTAGTAGGAAGGAGCAGTGGCGTAGCCAGTCATTTTTCATAGGAGGGATTTTTGAAAACTATGGGGGGGTTCCATCAAGAAAGTGAATAAAACAAACGGCCAATAGCGATTAGCGCCAATACTATAGCAGAAATGGTGACGCGAGGATCCTCCATAGGGGAGGGGGGTTATGACCCCAACACCCCCATGACTGCGCCTCTGGATAGGAGCATTGGCAACAAATCAAAGTTACATAGTTGCAAGAGTTCCGGTAAGGCGTTTTTCCAGGGAGAGTGAGCGCTAAAATAAAGGAAAACGACTTTGACAGGTACGATGTCTGGCAGTTAAATAAAGAGACTGCGCGCGCAAAAGGCGTCCTATAGGGCTAGGGGGAAAACGAAAGCCGCGTTGAATAGCTAGAAATATTTACTATTCCAGTACGAAACCATGATTTTGTCCCTTTAGTAGTATTTTTTCTATAACGAATATGTGTGACGAAAAACACGAGCAATGGATCAATGTGAAATTTCTCGTTAAATTAAAAAAAAAACTCCGACTTAGTTGTTAAAATAAGCCTATGGTGAGAATTCTCTCTCCAGTACGCGTATTGTTGAATGGTATAAACGGTTTTAAGAAGGCCGAATGTCGAAATCAAAATTGAAAGCCGTGCTAATCTTTTTTTTTTCTACATTAACGGCATTGTGATGACTGAATGGGTTCCAGATGGTCAAACCGAAAACCAAACTTACTATTTGAAAGTTTTGTCAAAACTACGAGAGCGAGTTCGTAAGAAACGGCCAGAGTTGTGGTAAAACAAGTCGTGGATCTTGCACCAGGACAACGCACCTGCTCTAGTGCCGAACATGTGCCGTACTCGCCTGATTTTGCACCCTGTGACTTTTTCCTGTTTCCGAAGATCAAGTCTGCCTTAAAAGGAACCCGGTTCAATGGAAGAGGTGAAGCGAAATCGGCGGAGCTTCTAAAAGAAGACTTCAAGCATTGCTTTGGTAAATTAAAAAAAAACGAATGGAAGAGTGTGTGGCGAGGGGAGGGGAGTAGATTAAAGAGAAGCATCCGATTTTAGAATAATTTTTATAATAGAACTCATGTTCATAGACAGTCTCGTTATTTAATTGTCAGACCTCGTATGTTGCAACAACGATCAGAAACCAGTCACCGACACCCTCATCTGGTGATTCGGTTTGTCTGGAACATTTTGGACAACTAGTTTTAACAATTGAATGAACCTTGCACACAAAGTCCTTACACATATCACATCTTATAGTAGTGCTGATTTTTTGATCTACCACACGTAACACAACGTCCCTTTCTCTTTAGGTCAGATTCTATTTCATTTGCTGCTCCTTCATTTAATTTGTATTTTGCTAGAGAAGCTTTGATGTCCAGCGGAAGTGAAGTTATGTTTGCCCTTTCCACAAGAAAAGGTTTCATAAGACTAATTGCAAGGTTTTTGAGGAAAATTTTTCGTTTGATTTTTTGATTGTTTGCATTAGAATTATATAAAATATATGCATTTATACCACCCATATCCATCATTGAAAAAAATATAACTAAAGGCCACCTTCTTGTAATTCTTTTTACTGAGTAGGAACCGCACATTGATCAACTGCGCCTTTAGTAGCATTGTAGTCCAGAATTATTTCCGGCTTCTTAGTCTCTTGATCAATTTCTCCTGAATCATGCATTGTTGATAATAATATAACCGATTTATTTTTTTTTTTTTGGAACGTGAGAGACGATTGTAAATTCCTTTTGAAACCCAAAGATAGATGACTTTAGTTCTCTATTCTTGTGAGGTAAAAACTCAACTGGTAATTCCCTTTTATTTTTTTCAGAGTTCCTAAAAGTGTTATTTTATAATATTGTAGTAAGATTTGGGCAAGAGGAATGCTTGTATGCCAGTTGTCGGTTGTCAGATTCCTTTTGCTACCTTTGATAGGATCAACAAGTCTTTTGACAATTTCTGGTGTACCTTATATAGCCCCTCCGGCTGCTGGCCGCAATAAATTTCAATATTACTTATGTAATGCGTTTTTGCATCGCATATAACAAACATTTTTATGCCGTATTTGGCAGGTTTATTCGGTATATACTGGATAAAGCTGCAACGTCCGCGAAAGGCTTCTAGTTTTTCATCTATTGTTATATATTCCCCCAAAGAATAAATTTCCTTACAATTATTAACAAATTTTTCAAAAATTACCCTGATTTTAGCCAATTTGTCAGTTTGCTTTCGATGTTCCCTGGTGTCACGATCATCAAACCGAATGCAACGTAACAAAAATAAAATCTTTTATAGCTCATGACTTGCCTTGTGATTCCAAATCCACTTTCAGCGTCCCACATCTCTTCAACATTGCAATGATTGTTTCTTTTAGCGCCTATAAAATATAATAATCCAAGAAGTGCTGCAATCTCATTCTTTGTAGTAATTCTTGCATTACGAGCTCTTTGGTATTCTACTGTTCTTTTTTTGTAATTTATGTAGAGATTAGTACACTTCACAACCTCCTCAATTATAAATGCGTCAAGAATCAATTCCAACGCAAAAATTTCGGATGTAAGTCCTCTGGAGGCTTGTTTTGGTCCAGGGTGAATTTTCAACAAATTCTTGTTTTTTATTTTAGAGATGGTTGACACATTCGTCTTGTACCATTTTGTGGGTTTGTCCTTAGCCAAAAAAAATTGGCATCTGGAGCTATTTCATTGTCCGAATCCAATTCCGAGTTCTCATTCTCCGTGCACTCTTTTTCAGAATTTGAAACGTCATCACTGTGAGTCACAATTTCCTCCTCTTCGGACATGTCTTCATCTTCAATAGGTAGTTCATCATCTGATGATTCTTCTAGGACAATCACTCGTAATTCTTCATTCGTTAAGTATTTTCTAGCCCTACAATAATAAAAAATAAAATTGTAATATAATTTACAATTATTATCATTTTATAGAATCATTTCATTTTAGACAAGTAAAATATCAAATAACACACTAGTATGTTATAATCCATAACTCACCATTGAGTTATAGATTATATAACTCACTAGTGAGTTATTGATTATAACGTTCATATTTAAAGTAGTATTCTATTTATTTATTAGTATTACAAGCAGAATTCACATTGCTATTGAAATTAAAGGAAAACGGTTTATTCGAATTTGAAGTCATTGTAAAATTCGTTGGTTCATTGGAACCAGACGCCAATAGAACATTTTCATCGATACCTTTTATCTTCCGTGAATTCATCCAAGACTCAAATATTTTGAACTCCTTGTCGTAAGCATCTCGGGACTTTTCTGGAAAAATCTGCATTGCTGCATCTTCCGCTTCCATAAGGATATCCTCAGGAACGTAATTTTCATCGGTTTCCTCCATTTTCTATACGTTGTTTTCTTCAAAAACTTTCCTTTTCTGCAGGGAAAACTGACAAATGTCAAAATTTATTTATAACAATGTATCATGCGGGTGGCAACCAAACAAACTACTTTGACCAAAATGTAAAAAAGTCACTGTCAAGTCATTCTGACATTTATAGGGTACATTTTATTTTAATTTTGTATATAAACCATGTAGCAGTTATTTGTATTTGGTACATTTATTTTTATGCTTTGCCATTATATTATAGGTATGAAAAATATTTTTTAAAAAGCTGTTTTTGTTATCGTACTAATAAATCCCATCTTATTCATAAAATAAGTTGTTAAGTATATTTAATTGGGTAACATATTGCAGATAAATGAGTAATCAGGTAAATAGTCCCAAGATGCGAAATTTTAACCCAGGGTCCCCAGTTGAGAAATTCTGAGTTGCAAAGATACCCTTCTCATTATCCTGGTTATAGAAACTATTCTTTAGACGTCGAATGTCCTTCTAAATTAAAACCTGCAT